AATTCCTCTCCAAAAACAAGGTGGAAGTATGCACATAATATTGCTTCTCCTTTTGTGTGGTACTTGAGTTGAATGATTGCCATTTTGCTTTTTAGCTAAGAGAGGTTGAAGAGTTGTATCCACAATCTGATCTTCACCCTTTTTTGTTTGTTTATCTTAGGCATCGTGATCATAGGGACAAGGATTCTAGAAGGAGAAGCCGAAGTAGAAGTAGAAGTAGAAGTAGGGGAAGGTATGAGCGTGATCAGTACCGTGGAAGAGACAGAGATAACCGTCATCGGAGCAGAAGCCGCAGCCCTGATTACCACAGAGGTCGTGGGAGAGGTAAATATGATGAGGACAGGCGCAGCCGAAGTCGGTCTCATGGAAGGTAGACCTTTTCTTGTTAATATTCTCCTTCTCATCTCTCATCCCCCATGGAGAACTATTTTTATAAGCTGTCTAACTTTTCATTTTTTATAGAAGTGCCTCCCCTGCTCGCCGTAGCCCCAGTCCTCGAAGGAGCCCTTCTCCACGAAGAACAACTCCTCCCAGGGATGCTAGTCCAGATGGACGTAATCACAAGGACCGGTCTCCAACTCCAAAGAGTATATCACCTCGGGGTAGACGTGCTGGTTCTCGCAGCCCCTTGCCACGTTCTGATGCTGATGTAAGTTGTGGCTGTCATATACTTTTTTTTGTAGTATAAACTTGATGAAAAAACATTATTTTATTTTGCAGGATTGAGGAGCAAGGGAGGAGCCACAGTTGTAATCTGGCTTTGGTTGATGCTGCGTATCAGGACATTCCTAAGTGAATGATACTTTCATCTGTATTCTGCTTGCTAGAACTGGTTGGCCAGACTTATTTATAAGGTTTAACTTCTTTTTGTTGTACTTAACCAGAACTTCTTTTGATGTTACATCTGCATTCTGGTATTATGGAATGGTTTTGTGATATTAAGATTTCAACTGTTGGTTTTTAATTACGCTTCTGTGGATTTTCTTTCTGCCTTTTTTTGTTTCTTATTGCTTTTCTGATTGAAAATATACTTGCATGGTATAATGTGATGGTATGCCTTGTTTGTAATTTACTTATGATGGGAATTATTGGCCTTCTATAGTTGGGTCGTGAAAAGTCAATGTGGCTGAATCACAAGACGATGCAGCAGCTGTTGATGCTGTTATATTTGCTGTTGGTTGTAATTTTGTTGCCGTTCACAAACTACTGTTTCTTCGCTGAATGGCAAGGAGATGCAGCAGCTGTAGATGCTGTTTTAACTTGGCTGCTTATAATTTGTTGCTGGTGACATACTACTGTTTGTTGGTTGAATGCAAGCAGATGCAGCAGCTGTTGGTGCTGTTTTAGCTTTGCTGTTGTATTTTTGTTGCTGGTGACAAATTACATTTTCTATACAGATGTTCTGGATTCTCATGATCGGTAAGGATAAGAAAACTCATGAATTACTGAAGTCGCACTAGGTTAATGCCCTTTGGTCTGACAGTCATTTCGTTTTTGTCTTAACTTCATATTCTGCCCTGAGAAGGTGTTAGCTGTGATCATCTTTAAGATGAAAGGAATCCGCATGTAGTGTAGCAGTTGAAGTTGATTCCAGGATGAGATTTGTTATGCCGAGTAAAGATTTCGATATAAGATCTAATCTCAATGAGTTCCAAGGGTAGTGGTTTGACCATAAAGATCTTGCAGACTTAATTCTTTATTCATCTTAAAATGAACAAATAATATTAAATTTCCCAATCACTAATACCTTGTTCTAGTGTCTATTTGCTTTATGGTCTTGAAAGTGTTCTTCAAGTACATAGCACACCCCCATACAGTGCATGATTTCATGCTTATACTTGTGAAGTTCTAGCTGATATCTGTAGATCTGTTGTTGCTGTTGGCTGATTGCTTATCAAACTGATCCTGCTTTTTGGTGTTGATGGTTTGCTTGATGTGTTTAATTGGATCCTCTGCACGTGCCTTCTGAAGGAGCTTAAGCTGTGTGTTTATGATGTGCTGACTGCCATGTCTCCTCTGGTATGCACCAATCTGGGTTCTTTTTCATCGAGATGTGTGCACATTATCAATTTGGAGATTTGATCGATTCCTGTGAGATGTTTAATTTATCGAACATAACCTTCTTTGATTACATCTTCAAGTGTCTGGAATTTGTGTCCCTGGACAGCGGTTAAATTACCTCATTTAGGTGTTCCCCATACAGAATTTGTGTCCTCTCATATGAGTCTTGTTCGTATGTGCTTGTTACCATATTGAACAATCTCTTTTTGCTAAATGGCTGAGTTTGACTTGTTTGGAGAGGAAGTTGGGGAAGGTAACTAGATATAAATTTGGTCTTTTACTTGTTACGAAATACTCTGTTGTAGTGTGATGGACCTATTGCCATTGCTCAAGTTTCATGCTTCAATTTTGTTCTAGTGGCAAAATTATAGTTAAACCGCCCAATACAACGCAACCCATTTAGGTTTGGGTTGGTTAATGACCTGCTTATGTTAGTCTAATTTATTTTCTAGAGATCTTGTTAATTTTTTTTTGATTTTATACTTTATATATTGCTATAATTCTAAAAATAATAGTTTTATTACTGTCCCTTTTTAGTTCATTTTAGAAAAGGCAAATATATTAAGATAACAGTAGTTAGTATAGTGAAGTTAATTTTGTCCTTATTAAATATGGTTCAAAAAGAATGAATTAAAGCTTAGAAATTTCTAAGAAGTTAAATGAGAGTATGATAGAATTTTTTTTTTGTTCTTTCTTGATTTGTTAAAATGGACAAGTAAATAGGTACATCTAAAAGAGGAAATGTAGACAAATTAATAGAAACAGAGCAAGTAGGTACTAAAACCTTGTAAAATAACAAAGATATGAAATCTACTACAATTTGTGCGGGTTTGGTTATGATTCATTATTGGTCCAGCTATCTAATCTGTTTTGGCCCAAACAAATTGGGTTGGGTTGAAATAAGGTTCGGTTCATTTATTATTTTGATCCGTCTAAATGTAATTCAATCTGTTCAATTGCCGGTCTTATTATGATTATGGGCGAACTAATGTCTATCCCTACCGAAAGCTGTTAGGTTTGCTACGCATAGAGTTGGGACGTTTATAATTTCTTCTGTCTTTTTATTGTCTGGCCTATCCAATTGAAGAATTTCGACATATATATATCTTATCGGTGAAGAATTCGTCACATTTGGTGTTTACAATAATAAACCATATATTTTTTCAATGTTCACAGATTTGTGTCTAACAATAATAATCATAGTTTGGTTTACACACTGTTAAGTTTATATCTCTAATACCTGGAAGTTTGTAATTCTGGGATATACCGTATTTTATGTTGCTCATTATCTTTTTACTTCCAAGCGGTACCCCAAGTTCAGCACAGCCATCCGAACAATGATTTCAACATTCCGCTCTACATGGTCTGCGAAAACAATACAATTATTCACAGTGTTGTTAGCACTTGGGTTCTTAAATAATTTTTTTGGTTGGGTTAGAATTTTTATTTTCATAATAAGAAATAACTTTCATGGGGCGTAAAATTTATATTTTTATGTCATACCATCCTATTGCATGAGTTAAAGAACTTATGTCCTCTAAGCATAAGATGGGAGTAGGGGTGATTGCGGGTCGGTTCAAAAATCAAATCAGTTTAATTGGTTTTTAAAATTATTAAGACCAAATCGAACCAAATAAAATACATATTTATCGATTTTGGTTCGTTTATTACCATAGACAAAAAAAAGTAAAAAATAAAAATTCATTCAAATGTGAATAAAGTGAGAACAACAATTCATTCAAAATGATTGAAATTCTGAGCTTTTGATCATTGAATTTACCGTGAATAAAGCTTTAAAATTTACTATATTGGCTTAGAAGGAAGAGAAAGTAATATTTAAATGAAAAATTAATAAGATAAATGTTTTCACCTTTTGACATTTTTACTTCTCAATAAGTAAATTATAAAGAAACATTAATAAAAACATATAAAGATTTTTAAAATTGTTTAATAAAAACATATATATTAAGCATGTATTAATAAAACATATCTATAGAATTTATAGGTCGAATTCAGTTATTTCTTTGACTTCAACTTTTTCTCAATAAATTCATAACCAAATCAAATACTATCAATTTTCAAAAATCTAACACCAAACCAAGCCCGAATAAAATTTATTTTATTTTATTAATTTAATTCGATTTTTCAATTTGAACCGATTTTTATCTGAACACTCCGGTTGTGAGTATTACTAAAAAATAAAGATACTCTTTTGTAGGGCAAGTTGTGTAATTTCTTCGTATTGCATGTCCATTAGCTCAAGTGACTTTTTATATCAAAATATATTTCAACATATTTAAGGCATAGAGGCCCACAATTGAGACACCCTTTTAATTCGTTGGCATGTACTCACATGAACAGTGACTCGTTGACTTACAAGTGGTTCTTGGTAGACCCGTATTTTACAAGCTGATAAACAAATTCAAGTGACCTACTACCTACTAATGCTATGAATTATAATTATGCATATTATTACTATTCATAATTATGATTTAAACTATGGTTATTTATGAAATTTCTTTAAAAAAAATATGCAAATTCTGTGCAATATGACGCAACTATTAACAGGGTCATTGGCACTCGTGCTTTTGAAATTTTGCGCTTTCATCTCCTAACTAATAAATTTTGTGTATCACAAAAAATTAAATTGAGACAAACTGTATGTGTGTATTTGTTTTAGAGGTGATATAATGTGTATCAATGTTTTAGTTTCAAAGCTAATATGTGTATTTGTGATTGCACAACTTTAAGCTAAGGCCACAATAGAGACAGCCTTTTAATTCATTGGTATATACTTAATTACACGAATAGTGACGCATTGACTTCCCAAGTCGTTCTAATAATTAACATTGACTCAGCAAAACTTCACTACAATATATATATATATATATATATATATATATATATATATATATATATATATAAAACAATACTCATGATCAATAGCCAAACACAAAACAACTGAAATCTTTTAGCTTTCATTTAAGATGGTTCCCAGAATATTTTATTTGCTTCAATTTTTCACACTCTTCACAGTTACTTTTGCTTCTACTGAGGAAGCAACTGCTCTCCTCAAATGGAAAGCAAACATAAATAATTCCTTATTGGCTTCATGGACACTAAGTAGTGATGCATGCAAGGGTTGGTATGGAGTTATATGCTTTAATGGTCGAATAAACAGGTTGAATATTAGTAATGCTGGTGTCATTGGTACACTCCATGATTTTCCATTTTCATCTCTCCCCTTTCTCGAATATGTTGATCTTAGCATGAACCAGCTCTCTGGTATTATACCCCATGCAATAGGAAACCTCACTAATCTTGTCTATCTTGACTTGTCGTCTAATCAGTTTTCAGGCAAAATCCCACCTCAAATCGGCTCGCTATCAAAGGTCGAGAACCTCTACATCAGTGACAACCATTTAAATGGTTTCATTCCAGCTGAAATAGGTAACTTAACTGAGCTCAAAACTCTTCATCTTTATTCAAACCAACTTTTTGGTCCCATTCCTAGTGAATTGGGGAATCTAAAAAACCTCAATGATTTGGAGCTATCGCGTAATAAGCTTACTGGTTCAATTCCAATTACTTTAGGTGACTTAACTGAGCTCAAAATTTTGTATCTTCATTCTAACCAACTTTCTGGTCTCATTCCTACTGAGTTGGGGAATTTGAAAAACCTCAATGATCTGGAACTATGCAATAACCAACTTAGTGGTTCAATTCCAATTACTTTAGGTGACTTAACTCAGCTCAAAAATTTGTTCCTTTATTCTAACCAACTTTCTGGTCTCATTCCAAGAGAGTTGGGGAATTTGAAAAACCTCAATGATCTGGAGCTACAAGAAAATCAACTTACTGGTTCAGTTCCATTTACTCTAGCTTACTTAACTCAGCTCGAATTTTTGTACCTTTATTCTAACCAACTTTCTGGTCCCATTCCTAGTGAGTTGGGGAATTTGAATAGTCTCACAGAGCTGGATTTATCCGATAATAAGCTTAGTGGTTCAATTCCAATTACTCTAGGTAACTTAACTGAGCTCAATTCTTTGTACCTTTCTGATAACCAACTTTCTGGTTCGATTCCAAAAGAATTTGCATATTTGGATAACTTGGTTCTCTTATCAATTAGTAACAATCACTTTTCAGGCCATTTGCCAGAGCGGCTTTGCAATGGTGGGAAACTTGAGATTTTAACAGTGAATCGTAACAAGCTTACAGGGACAATCCCAAGAAGCTTGAGCAACTGCTCCAGTTTCAAAAGGGTTCGCTTCAATAACAACAGCTTTACTGGGAATTTATCTGAAGCTTTTGGCATCCATCCCGAGCTGAAGTTCATTGATTTGAGCGACAATGATTTTCATGGCGAACTCAGCAGCAACTGGGGGAAATACAAGAATTTGACTACTTTTTGGATAGCCAGAAATAACATTAGCGGTAGCATACCACCAGAGATTGGAAACATCAAAGGTCTTTTGGGACTTGATCTTTCAGCAAATCATTTGGTTGGGCAAATACCAGAGGAATTTGGAAAATTAACCTCTCTGGTTGAGCTCTCATTGAAAAACAACCAAATTTCTGGCAATATACCTCAGGAACTTGGGTCACTGACAAATTTAGACTCCCTTGATCTATCAGACAATAGATTGAATGGGTCGATCCCAACGTTTTTAGGAGATTACCAACACCTGTTTCACTTGAACCTCAGTTGTAACAAGTTTGGCCAGAAAATTCCAAAGGAGATAGGGGGTATAACTCATCTTAATGTACTTGATTTGAGCCATAATCTTCTGGTTGGAGAAATACCCCCCCAGTTAACCAATTTGAAGTACTTGGTGAACTTGAATCTGTCCCACAACAGCCTTTCTGGCCACATTCCTGAAGAATTTGATAGTTTGACTGGTTTGCAGGATGTTGTATTGTCATACAACGAGTTGGAAGGGCCAATCCCTAATAATAATGCTTTTATGAATGCCTCATTAGAAGGTAATAAAGGTCTTTGTGGCAATGTGACTGGATTCCAACCTTGCGAAAGGCCATCTTCTATGGTGAAGAAGCACTCAATGGCGAAGGGACATAAACTCATCCTCATCACTGTACTTCCTATTCTGGGAGCATTAGTGCTGCTTTGTGCTTTCGCTGGTTCTCTCTTTATGTGTGACCAAAGAAGAAGAGTTGGAGACGTTGAAAGAAGGGATGGTGATGGTTGGCTTTCGATATCCATGTTAGATGGGAAGGCATTGTACAGGGACATCTTAAATGCCACAGAAGAGTTCGATGCAAAATTTTGCATTGGGCAAGGAGGTCAGGGAAGTGTTTACAAGGTAAACCTTCCATTATTAGGAGATATAGCTGTGAAGAGACTTCATTCTTCATTTCAGAATACACATCCCAAAAGCTTCATAAATGAAGTAAGGGCATTGACTGGGATTAAGCACCGGAACATTGTGAGCCTCTACGGCTATTGTTCGAAAGCACAACACTCACTCTTGGTTTACGAGTATGTGGAGAGGGGGAGTTTGTCTAGTGTTTTAAGCAATGAAGTTGAGTCTAAGAAATTGGATTGGCTTAAAAGGGTGAATATCATCAAGGGTGTTGCTTTTGCTTTATCTTACATGCACCAGGATTGTTCACCACCCATTGTTCATCGAGACATACGTAGCAGCAATGTTTTGCTTGATTCTGAGTATGAAGCTCGTGTTGCAGACTTTGGAATAGCAAAGATTCTCAATCCAGACTCGTCCAATTGCACCGCGCTTGCAGGCACATATGGTTATGTCGCACCTGGTAAGTTTTAAATAGTTGATGAACTATATCCAAGCACTCCATTGTTTTCTTAATCTCATTTGATTGTTAGTATTGTTGTTGAAAATTGTATTATCATTCAGAGCTTGCATATACAATGAAGGTTACACAAATGTGTGATGTGTATAGCTTTGGAGTATTATCATTGGAGATAATCAAAGGAAAGCATGTCGGGGAATACATTACTGTGCTGGCAAATTCATCGACTATAGATCCTGAGCAGCTTAGCAATTTGCTGGATGAACGCCTTCCATATCCTGAAGATAGAGTAAAAGATGTTTTGGTTTTTATCATCAATCTAGCATGCTCTTGTTTGCTCCAAACTCCAAACTCAAGGCCAACAATGCACTTCATCTCTCATAAGTTATCATCAATGGATGCACGTCCACCTGTTCATCAGAGAAACCACCATGCAAGGGAAGCAATATAATCCTTGATATGTTTGTATTGTTAGTTGGTTTACTCTATAATTTAATGCTTATACTCTATTGAACATCTGTTGTTGCTGTTAGCTGATTGCTTATCAAACCGATCCTGCTTTTTGATGTTGATGGTTTGCTTGATTTGTTTAATTGATTTTTGAGAAATCTTGTTAAAATATCTTTTGATTTTTGATTTTATACTTGGTATATAGTTATAATTTCAAAAATAATAATTTTATTAAAATCTTATAAAATAACAAATAAAGCTATTAAATTCTAGTAAAAGTTGTGCGGGTTTGGTTATGACCCATTATTAACCTGTTATCTAATTTGTTTTGGCCCAAACTAATTTGGGTCGGATTGAAATAGGATTTGACTCGTTTATAATTTTTTTCTCATTTTAACCTATTTAAATTTAATCCAACCCGTCCAATTGTCACTCCCATATATATGGGCGAACTAATGGGTATTCCTGCCGAAAACTGTTAGGTTTGCTAGGCATGGAGCTGGGACATTTATAATTTCTTCCGTCTTTTTAACCTTTCCAATTGAAGAATTCCAACACATAAATCTTATCTGGTGAAGAATTTGTCACATTTGGTGTTTACAATAATAAACCAATAGATACATGGTTTGTTTACATATGTATTTTTTCAATTTTTACAGATTTGTATCTAATAGTTTATGGTTTGGCGTAAACGTTAGTAAGTTTATATATCTCTAATAGCTGGAAGTTTGTAATTCTATGATATACCGCATTTTTTGTTGCTCATTTTCTTTTTACTTCCAAGCGGTACCCAAGTTCAGTATCGCGGGTAAGGGTGTACAAGATCGAATTAAATAAAAAATCATGTTTAAGTTTTTCAAGAAAAAGAATTAATTATTCATAATATATTTTATTTTTTTTCTTTGTAATACTCACATTTTTTAAAAAAAATTTAACTCCTTATGCACTCTATTTCTTTAAATATTTGATAGTTAAAATAATCTTCTCTAAAAAATATGAATCAATAAGTGTTGGACAAACTAAATTACAAATATTTTTTTATTTCTTTGTAATTTTTATATTAAAGTAGGATAATCAAGTTATCAACTTTTTGAATCAGATTCTATAATTCTTAAATTCTTATCTTTATTTAAAATTTATCATCTTATTACTTATAGAACTATATTTTTTATTCATATAATAATTTTCTCAATAAAATAATGTTTTTAATGTTGAATTGATAAAATCTTGCTTAAAAATATATTTTTAAAAAAGTATTTGAAAAATTGTTTATAAAAATGAAATCTAAAAATTTTAAAAAATAAATAAATACAGATAATTTTTTTAAAATTTTTAGGCCTCTAACTAAAATTTCACTTTAGGCCTCGGATTATGTTGAGCTCCCCCTGTTAATACTTATTAGACTTATTTTAGCAAGATTTAGTACTTTTAAAATTATGATCATTTTCATTTTGACTTATCAATTCACAATATTTATTTTATAAGATTTCATTATTATTTTCTTTATTTTAGTCATCACTTATCTCATATTTTGTGTTATTTTTGAAAAAACATCTTAGATAGTTGTATTTTGTTTGGACTAAAAGAAATATTTGTAGCACAAGTTAATTATATGTTTATATGAATACTTTACTGGAAAAATTCAAAAAAAATTGAGGTTTATTACTTTGACTTGATTTAAAAATTTTAAAAAATTCAACACAAATGATTTGATTTGGTATTTGAAAAAAAACAAATCAACCCGAGGTTGAAAAATTAGAAAAAATCTGAATTTTATTAGTTTGGTTAGGTTGACAAAACTAAAAATTTGACACAAATAATTTGATCTGCTTTTTGTAAAATCCGCACTAACCCGGTCATGTACACTCCTAACCACGGAATGTGTGTGAGACGTTTCTTCTTCATGGGTTTATCCAGACAAAAATTTCAATTTTCCGCTCTACATATTGATAAGGTCATTAACACTTGTGTTCTTATAAAAGAATTATAGCATACTATTAATTCAAATTAAATGCTATACATATAGTTTGATTTAATTATAACCCGTAGCAAACTGTTGCTATTTCGCTTCTCTCCTGTTGAATCTCGCTCGCTACTCTCGTTCTCTCTCTCGCCTCTTTCGCATTTTATACAAACACAAATATACAAAATCCGTTTGTATTTGTATGAAGAAAGAGAAAATTGTATATATACATATATTTTCGTTTTCCCTCTCCAGAAATTGATTGCCACTCTCCCAGATCTCGCTCACTCGCCTCTCTCACTTCATACAAAAATGAAAATGTATAAAATGTATTTATATTTGTATAAAGAGAGAGAAAATTGTATTTATACATATATTTTCGTTCCCCTCTCCCCCCTCTCCTAGATCTCATTCGCCACTCTCCTAGATTTTGCTCGCTCACTCGCCTCTCTCACTTTATACAAAGACAAATGTATCATTGTGTTTGTGTGTGTATAAAACGAGAGAAAATTGTATATGCATATACAAATGCATATATATTTTCGTCTGATACACTTATTATTATACAAATACGATCTTCTCCTAACTCAGTTTTCTTTTGTCTTTCTCTCTTTCTCGCTTTATACAAACAAAAATTATACAATTGATCTTTTGTATATGTATTCCAAAATATATCATACAACTGATTTTTTTTTTTTTGTATATGCATAACGAAATTATACAACTGTTTTCTTTTGTATATGTATAGTGAAATATACATATAGCGTATAGGTTGGCTTTCGATATCCATGTTAGATTGGAAGGCATTGTACCGGGACATCTTAAATGCCACAGAAGAGTTTGATGCAAAATATTTCATCGGGCAAGGAGGACATGGAAACGTTTACAAGGTAAACCTTTCATCATTCGGGAATGTAGCTGTGAAGAGACTTCATTCTTCATTTCAGAATACTCATCCCAAAAGCTTCATCAACGAAGTAAGGGCATTGACTGGGATTAAGCACCGGAACATTGTGAACCTCTACGGCTATTGTTCGAAAGCACAACACTCGCTCTGGTTTACGAGTATGTGGAGAAGGGAAGTTTGTCTAGTGTTTTAAGCAATGAAGTTGAGTCCTTGAATATCATCAAGGGTGTTGCTTTTGCTTTATCTTACATGCACCAGGATTGGTTTTTATTATCAAACTAGCAAGCTCCTGTTTGCTTGACAATCCAAAATCAAGGCCAACAATGCAGTCCATCTTTCGTAGTTTATCATCAATGAATCTATGTCTATCTACTCATAAGACAAACCCCCATCTAAGGTAAGTTGTATATACATAAGGTGTCTTTGTATAGAAATGAATAATAGCCTTTGTTACTGAATGGTTGTGAAATGTTGGAATGTGTGTGTCCTTTAGTTACGATAGGACCATGTCCTTTAGCATAACTACGATTAACAAAAAATCAATACCGAAAGTAAAAATAACACACACAACTTTACGTGGAAATCTCCTTGCTCAAGGGAGTAAAACCACGACCTGTTTGGACTTTTCAAACTGCTTTTACTAAACTTTACAAACCAAAGTAAAACCCAGTTTACAACATATACGAGATTAACCTTTAATCTCACACTAAGTAATACAGCGATTACTTAACCGAGCCTAAGCAATGCCTAATGCCTGCATTGCCCACAACCCAGCTGATTAATATAGACTTTAACGCAAGACACTAAGTTGCCCTCAACTAAGTTCTTACAATGATTCGCCCAAGTTTGAAACGTTTCTAATACAAACGAAACGAATCCTATAATATAAGCACAAATACAAGCAATTAAAGTAACAGCTGGTTCAGGAAGGAGGCAATTGGAAAAATCTATGAGGTCCCTAGCTGTTTTTGAAGTTTATCTCTCTTTGCATGAATGAATTAATTTGTTGTTTGTCATGTTGAATATATCAAACATCAAGAGTTGATCCACATTGACCAAACAACCTCGTCCCTTCTGATTGGTGTGATACACTAACGACCTTATCAACCTCTAATGCGGACAGCTTTCCAGTTGTATAACTCAAGGGCCTGGACGAGCATACTATGCAGAGGACCCGATCCCTACATTTGTGAGGAGATCATCAAAAACATCTTGAAGCATTAAGACTTATCGTGAAGCAAGTAGTCTAATGAGAAAGCCACTAAAAAAGATATTGCTGGTACTAGTATTGTTGAAGATAATTATTTAATTCCCTCGTGCCAAAAAGTAACTATAACAAAATTCGATCATGTTTTGCTAACAACTGAAGTTATAATAAGATTACTTTCCATAATTCTATAGCTAATGAAAAATCTCAAATAATTAAAAATATGTGGATAAATATGCCTCTTAAAATTATGCCTTTGCTCCTCTTACCTACCCTTCCTTTTCTACTGTGTACTATGTACAAGCTAACATTGAGTTGACAGAAGAGGAAGTTTTACAGCTAAAACTCACCAAAAATTCCTTAATCATTTCCATTTATAACAAAGTTTTAAGCGTCTAAACTTGCAGCTACTCTTTCCGTCCACGGTTGTTTGTCAGGTAAGGCAAGGTAAAATTATGTACTCCTCTCAAGGAAAATTTAATATAAAATGTAATTTGACTAATATAATTCTACTTTTTCAAGAATATCAAAAATCTACTTAACTTTTAACTTTTCAATTGAACAAAATGGACCAATTATTTAGGGTAGAATTGAAAAAAATAACTAATTTATTTCTTGATTATTGAAATTGATAATTAATCTTGAATATCTATTTTTAGTATACCTGTCAAACAATTGTGGACTGAGGGAGTATTTTTTTAGGGTGTCATGTGTTCTGTTTCTATACTCTATTTATTGGTCTTCAACTTCCAACTACTATGTGGTTGTGTTTGGTATGACCTTTTCAATTTTTTCATGTTTGGTTAGATTAAATATTTTAAAAGATGTTTTCTAAATTAACATAATTTTCTTTTAGTTTAAGGAAAATGATTTCCCTTCAATACTTAACAAAAAGATTTTCCAAAACTCTCTTTCAACTAACAATAATTTAAAGCTTTTTTTTAAAAAAAAATTAACTTTAATTTTTTTACCCCACCTCACCCCTACCACCTCCAAAAAAATATATTAAAAGTCAATTTTAAAAGATATTTTTAATTTCAATTTTATATTTTTTTACCCTCTACCCCCCCCCCCCGAATAGCCCCCCACCTC